AGATCCTACCATTTAATTAGTATATACTGGGTGCAAGGCATTATGCTAAGCACTTGACGTGCACTGTATACTGAAGGGTCATGATTGTACTTAGGACATAGATACCATTATTATCTCTGGTTTTAGAGGAGGTTTAATGAGATTAAGCCTCTTGCTCAAGGTCACATACCTAGTAAGCGGCAGAACAGTGATTTAAACCCAGGATGAGTGATAGCAAATTTAAATTTACTTCTACACTGTAGTGCCATTTAATTTTGTTTTCATGGATAAATGGTCATACTCTTTAGGGAAGAGGTAGAAAGAAGAAAGGATCTGCTAAGTGCCAGACAGTATGCTAGGTGATTTATACAGGTTCAGCATCCCTAGTCTGAAATCCAAAATGCTTCAAAATCTGAAGCGTTTTGAGTACTGCCAAGTGGAGAATTCCACACTTGAACTCATGTGATGAGGTGCAGTCAAACTGCAGTCAGCACTTTGTTTCATGCACGAAACCAGTTAGACTATTTTATCAAATTACCTTCAAGCTATGTGCATAAGGTGTATATGAAACAAAAGAATTTCATGTTGACACTTAGGTCCCATCCCCAAAATATCTCATTATACACATGCAGATATTCCAAAATTAAAATAAAATTAGAAACACTTCTGGTCCCAAGATTCCTGGGGATAAGGGGTACTCAACCTGTATATGTAAATTCACTTGATGAAATGCTTAATGATGAAAACTGTATTATGTCCCCTTTTTGCAGATGAGGCACCTGAATCTCAGAGAAGTTAACTAGTAGGTCTGCAGTCATAAATGATAGTTAGTACAAGTGAAGAGAATTGAGAATGGCAAACCAATTTTAGTAATCAATCAATGACAGAACATAGGCCACAATAGGGTAGGTATGAGCAGTAGCTTATGCTAAGTGTTGAACCAGACCAGGGGTTGGCGAACTTCTTCTGTAAAGGGCCAGATATGGTCAATGGGATTTGGCCCATGGGCCCATAGTTTGTTGACCCTTGAACTAGATGATACTGATATGTGGAAAGTTTGAACCTTTGTGAGACTCCTGTTCCTAACAGTTTTCATATATGAATCCATTAATAATTTCTAAGTTTAATCTATCAACTTAGTAAAATCATTAACATATAATAAAAAGTAAACCTGTGTAATTATTAAATAAACTCCAATGGGAAAATTCTAAGGCACATGCATGTTTTATAAAGGGAAAAATAAGAAAAATACATTCTACTGAGGGGGGTGGAAAGTAACACATTTGTACTATGAGCCCTGAATACAGAACAGATGCTAAGGCTTAAACTGACATCCAAATCCTTCCCTCCTCTTTGGAGTATGGACCAGGGCTTAGATGAGTTGGTGGCTTGGGTAATTAAGAACTCTAAAGATCACTGCCTTCATTCTAAAAGGCCACATATTCACAGAAAGCTTTTTCCTAGTGTGGATGCCAGACACTTATGCACAGTGCCATTTTCACTGAAGAGTAAAAGAGCTTAGTTCACTGAGAAAGAAAGAATTAAAGGATTGGAAATATCTGAATCAGAAATAATCCATCTTCATAAACAGCAGGGAGAAGGCAGGGTACCGCAGGATGGTCTATCATTTACAGGGGAGAAAATACCTCTGGTAACTGACTGAAGTTCTGTCTTTGATCAATGACCTTCCGCAATGTTCCTAGTCCCAGGTCTACCTGCAAAACCTGAAAAACTCCCCCAGAAATGGGTGATGGGAAAAAACAAACAAGAAGCACAGGGTGGTATTCATTTTGTTTGGAAAATTATCTGGCTCAATATCTGATTCAATAATCAATTATTTCAATATTCAGGATCTGAGTCAATACTCCATGTTTACTGAGCGCCCACTCAGTGCCTGGACCCATGCAAGGTTCAGGGAGACAACATTAGCAAGACAGCCAAGGTCTTTATCCTCAAGAACTTCAGAGTTTCCTGGGAGGATCATTTAGGAGATATGTTTTTAATCTCAACCATTAAAAAGTATTTCTAATAAGATTTGCTTGCAAAAGACCTTCTCTGATTTTTCTTTATTAAGGTATCTTAGGATGCTATTGTCTTAAAAAAAAAAAAAACTTTTATTTCGATAGTTTTTGGGGTGCAGGTGTTTTCTGGATTAGCTCTTTAGTGGTGGTGTCTGAGAATTTAGTGCACCCATCACCCAAGCAGTGTACACTCTACCCAATATGTAGTCTTTTATCCCTCACCTACCTCCAAATGTCCCCACACCCCAGCTGCCAAAGTTCATTATATCACTCTTATGCCTTTGTGTCCTCATAGCTTAGCTCCCACTTAGAAGTGAGAACATATGATATTTTGTTTTCCATGTCTGAGGACCCTACTTTCCTAGGGCACATTCTCACCATTTTTCCCCTTCTTCCCTAATAACCCCAAACTTACTGAACTGGCTTTCTCTTCAGCTGCCAGGAGATATCACCTCCAAGTGTGTTACCAACAACATGGAACGTATCACAACATCCTTGGACAGCTCCTTCGCTTCTCACAATGAGCCATGAAGATACAGAAAGGGGGGTGCAGCAATGTGAGGCTGAAGCACTTGGGTCATCATAACGCAGGGGGGACCAGTGCATGTGACCCTCCAGGGTGGCAGTGAGGAATTGATTGCTGGTCTCATTGCACTGACAAAACCTCAGGCAGTATGTCTTCACATGATCCATGTATCCATCCATCCAATCATTCATTCATTTTAAAAATAGTGGTAAAACACATGTAGCAAAAATTTACCATTAGTGACACTTTGGTACTTTCACCATGTTTCGCAACTATCACCACTATCTAGTTCCAAAACACTCATCACTCTGAGAGAGCCTCATGTCCATCAAGCAGTCACTCCCCACTTTCTCTCCCCCATCCCCTCCCTGGAAACCACTAATCTGCTTTCCATCTCTATGGATTTGCCTATTCTGGACCTTTCTTATGAATGGCATCTCACAATATGTGTCCTTTTGTGATTGCCTTCTTTCATTTAATGTTTTCTAGGTTCATTCACGTCACAGCGTGTATCTTACTTCATTCCTTTTTATGACTGAACAATACATCATTGTATAGATATATCATTTTGTTTATCCATTATCTGCCAATAGACATTTGGGTTTTTTCCTCTTCTTAGCTATTATAATGAACATTCTTGTATAGTTTTTGCTTAAATGCTTATTTTCAATACTTTTGAGAATGTACCCATTAATTAATTTTTAACAAGCATTTCTGAGCTTCTGTTATACTTCAGACACACTGTGATGGCGTGTTAAGAGGGAGTGTTAAAAAAGTAGTAAGATATGATTTAGGTCTCCAAGAATTAAAGTTAGACAAAGCAGAAACACATTAGTAATAATACTTATAACAACATATTACTAACAGCCAGGTTTTATTGAGCACTTACTATGTGCTGGACTCTTTTAAACACTTTATGTATTGTCCCTCATGTAATCCTCACAACAAAACTATGAGCAGGTACTACTAATACCCTAATTAGAGAAGCCTTATCTAAGTATATGAGGGCCAAAGCAGGGAAGTGAATCGAGGTGATGGTCAAAGCTAAGGAAACAGAAGACATAACCCAGAGGGAGAGTGGAGAATGAGAAGAGGGGTGATTAAAGGTGAAACCAGGGCGGGGAGGGGGGTTGCAGGGAGATCTAAGGGATGGCCCAAGGAAGGGGAGATCTGGAGGAAGACTCAGAAGAAATGGCTTGGGAGATGTTAGAGACAAAAAGAAGAAACTCTGTCAGAAATGCCAAGGGAGAAGAGAATGTCAAAAACCCCATCTGCTGCTGCCAACTGGTAAAGCAACAGAAGAACTACCAGGGGCCCACTGGATTTAGGGTCCAGGAGTCTAGTGACACAGCAAAGCACATTCATGCTGCAGTGGAGTCAGGAGCCAGAGGGCAGGATAGCAGAGACAGAAAGAGCAGAAAGGAGACAGAGGGCTATAGAGGGGAGAAGGGAAGTTCTTGGCTGACGTGGCCTGCCAGAGCAGAGTCTGACAGGCTGAAGAAACCGGGGAGAGAGCTGAAAGGAGGTTGAGAAATTCATTTTGTACACCTCCCAAGGACAAGAAATCCAATGCAAGTAAAGCACCAATTTCCTAGGAAAAGGAACAAAGGAGCATTTACACCTAGATATACTCAGGGTTAAAGCAACTGTTCTCATGAGCAGGTAGGCAAGGAAAGCACGGTACCTGCACACAAAGGAACAGAGAGCAGGCTGATCTGAGCTTACCGCCCCATTCCATTAGGAGTCAAGAGCTGCACAATCAGGAGGAAATGACTGTGGCAAGGAAATATTTTTACCTGGGCGACGTACGTTGAGGTATGAAGAAGCAAAAACCCTTTTTTCAGATACTTTAGAACCAAGGAAATACATCAATCATAAGACTTTTACCAAGAAAGCTTTTCAAAGACATATGCCAGCTATCTGATAGCTAAAATCAAGAACTCAGGAATGGGCAGGTGCCAGTATACAAGGAGGGGCAGAGAGGTATGATATCACCTAAATTAAAAAAATATAGAAGTCCTGGCCAGGCACGTGGCTCACACCTGTAATCCCAGCACTTTGGGAGGCCGAGGAGGGCAGATTGCTTTGAACTCAGGAGTTCAAGACCAGCATGGCCAACATGGCAAAATCCTGGCCCTACAAAAACCACAAAAATTAGCCAAGTGTTCGTGGTGCATGCCTGTAGTCCCATCTACTCGGGAGGCTGAGGCTGGAGAATCGCTTGAGCCCAGGAAGCAGAGGTTGTGGTGAGCCAGGATTTCACTACTACACTCCAGCCTGGGCGACAGTGAGACCCTATCTAATAAATAAATATATATAACCTCTTCTATATCATTTTTAACAGCTTTGCTGAGGTGGAAGTGACATACAAAAACTGCAAATATTTAACACGCACAATTGGATGAGTCTGGGCACACACATATACTTATGCAACCGTCACCACAATCAAGGTAACAGATATCTCCAAAAGTGTCTTGTGTCTTTTTGTTTTTCTTGTTTTATTGTGGTAAAAACACTTAACATGAAATCTACCCTCTTATACATTTTTAAGTGCCCACTTAAAAATTGTATGGTTGACCACAGACATGTATTGTACAGCAAATCTCTGGAATTAATTCATCTTGCATAACCATCACTTTATACCACTTGGACAACTCCCCATTTTGGTGTTTACACAACTGTACATGTTTATCAAAATTCATCAAGTCCTACACTTAAAGGGGTAAATTTTATTGCATGTAAGTAATACCTCAATAAATTAGACCCTTAAAAATTGAAAAAAAAATGGTAACAGGAGCAAACAAGGTCAGGTACATTTAAGATACACTGTAAAGGATGAATATTTTATAAAACAAACACCATCTAAAAATTAGAACAAAGAGAAACTGAGGAGGACAACACCATATGGGTAAATTTAATGCTCCTTTATTAGTCCTTGATAACTAGATTTTTAAAAAGACCATAGAGAACCATTACTTAACAAAACTATAAGTGAATAACTAAAAAGAATAGCAAAAACTTGACTTAACTGGAGGTTAACAGATTCTAACTACTAGATGTGTTATCTCATTTCTACCTATTTACAGTCACACTATCAGATGGTCACTATGCCCAGTGGAAGATAAGGAGACAGAGACAAATTAAGATTGGGTAATGTGGCAAAGTCCTTGCAGCCACAGGAACAGGAACTCAAACCCAACTCAGTTGCTGTGAAGGCGACAATAGCCAATCCTAGTCATTTACATGTGTAAAGCTGCCATTTTTAAATGTAACAATAGCATTTCCTTATGTCTCCCTATCTCATTTTCATCTCTCTACTATACAATAAAGGGCACAACAAATTCATGTGGGATTTGTTTTTTCCATCAGTTTCTGGGTCCAATATTTACCAAATCATGTGATCAGATGCACCTAAAAATAAGCTCCATTAAAAATCACCCAGATCCAGAAGTCTATTAAGCTATGAACATAGAGAAAAATCACTGCTTGTAACTGACAGCCAATCACAGACACGGTGATCCTACAGAATTGGGGTAGAAAGTAAGTATGATTCTGCAAATGTTTCTTTGGATTCCCATTCATAACCTTTATAGTCACACTGAACCTGTCTACAGCAGGATGAAATGTTTAAAGCGTTTTCTCAAACTTTTTCATTTGAGGACTATGCCACTTGGACAGGAAAAATCCTACAACACAGATCTGATCTGGAAACACTCCATTTCAAGTATTCTCTCCCACTGTTCCTATAAACTATCCGTGTGCCCCAGGCTATGTGCCGATCATCAGGAGCTGTGGAAAAGGGGCCCCAGACTAAGGGGTCAGAAAACTCTTCCAAGAGAATTTGATGCTAGACCTTGCTCTGAAGGATGAACAGGAATTATCCAGAGAAAGAAGTTAGAGTTGAGGCTACTCCAAGGAGAAGGAGGAAAAAGTCTTGAAGTCCAATGGCACGTACAGAATGCAATTTGTATATGGTTATAGCTGTGTTGTCCAATGATAGCCACATGTGAGCAGTGAGCACTTGCAATGCAGCTGGTCTAAAGTGAAATATGCTGCACATTTTCTACTATATTAAAAAAAAAAGCTACACTTAAAAGTAGAAACATGCAAAATTAATTTTAATAAACATTTAATATTTTATTTAATCCAAAATATCTGAAATGTCATTTCAACACATGGTCAATACAAACGTTATTAAGATATTTTACAGTCTTTTTGGTACTAACTCTTTGAAATCCTCTGTGTATAGAGTTTCTTTGCTTCCATCTATCTTCTCCCCAGTACAATTTGGGACCCTCACCACAATCGACATCCCCATTCCTGCTTTCTAGCCCAGGCTGTGGATGGTTGGCCACAACTTCAAGAAATAATGCAGCATTGCTAATTATTTTGAATGTCCATCATTTGCAGAGTAACATTAAAAATAATAATAATAAGGCACCAGTACAAACACTGCCTCTCTCTAACAACCCAATAACCAAGGAGGTGCTGCAAGCAACACAGTACCCCAGGGGTTATAGACAAGGAAGAGGACTGCAGGGCTCAGTGACCTGACCAAGGTCACACTTCAGTGAGGTCTTTTACCTCTGAGGCCAGGGTTCTTTCCTTACTCTACCACTAGCACAGCTCTTCGGGCTGGTGAGTGCCAGGGAAAGCAGGCTGCTTCTCTTGCCTGCCTTGGAGTGTCTACCACTGGGTGGCTGTAAGGGGCAATGTCACAGTTATAGGACCAGGTCAGGTGGAGGCGTAGGAAGGAGGAGGCTGTGCTAGCAGTGCAGACGCAGGTCTGAGAGGAAGGTTGGACCTGGATGCAGCTTGTCTCCTGGAGAGAGAAGCTTGCAGGATGCCCCTCTGGCCATAGAAAGTGATCATCAATAAGCTCCCAGGCTGAACCCAACATGTGAAATTCACAGCTGCTTTATAAGCAGGGCTCTCACCAAGTGTGTGGCATGACAGCTGACTCAGTTTGTGGCTAATCCTGCCAATGTTCCTCCTGTAACTTCTCTCCACTTAATGCAATTGCCAGTGTCCTCTGCTCTCATGTTTAGGCAGCCAAGTGCAGGGGACACTGCATGTGTGATGCTGGACAGGCTTGGGACAAGGGGGTGGGGTAGAGGATGGACTATGACGAATCATGGATCATGCCAGCTCCACGCAAAGGCATTCAAATTCAATTTTTTAAAAAGCACACCTGTCAGCCAATTGCAGCACACCTAGGTGCAAGTTCACAAGTTCAGCTCTAGAACATGACACTCTCTTAAAGCCCTTTCCTCTGCTGTCCCTAAATGGTAAAAAGAGAGTAACACTGGTTAATTCTGAGAATTTACTACATTCTAGGCACCATTCCAGGCACTTTATTTGCACTAAATCATTTAAACTCATAAAACACCTATGGATGCAGGAACAATTAATCTACTCATTTTACAGATAGGGAACTGCAGTACAGAGAAATTAAGTTAACTACCCCAGACTGCACACAGAGGAACCCCAGAAGCTGGGATGGGAACCCAGGCAGGGAGGCTCCCAGAGCCCGGCCCTCTGTAAAGGGTATCTAGTGCCAGCAAAATTTGCTTTTTTAATGAAGGAACTATCTTCTCTATTTTGATGCTAATGGGGACACTGGCTTTATCATACCTCTTGGAGAGAGGGTCACCCCTACCCTACCACAGAGGGACTGGAAATGAATGTCTCCGCCTTCCTGCCAGGACAGCACATCTTTCTTCTTTTGGAGAGATTCTCGCTGGAAACCACAGTGGACACTCGCAGGAGGCACCCAATTCTCTGCTTTCTGGGGAGTTCCCTGTGGTCTTCCCCTCACCGCACCTCCCGCCTCCCTGCCCTGCCCATAGCACACTCCTACCCTGCCTGCCTCTGCCTGCTGGTACCTTTGCCTCCCACCATGCTCTTCCCTCTGCCTGGACTCTCCCTTCACCTTCTAGTTTCCAGCAGTGACTTACCCAGAAACCTTCACCCTCCTCTGTTTCTCCAGGCCAAGGTGCCCGTCACCTCCTCTGGAGCCCTGCAGCACTTGGCAAATACTCTCAATACAGGAATTTACACAACTCATTTTTATTCATGAGTCTGTCTCTGAAAACTGCAAGTTCCCCCAGGATACACTGCAAATGCTAAGAAGGCTTAGAGAAATAACAATAATAATAATATTTTTTTAAAAAAGGTGTCTGTTTAGGTCAGGTTGACCTCTTATGAAGGGACTTGGCTTTCTGGAACCTGCTGTCCTGGTTCTTATCCTTACTGTTGGACCCCAGGCTGACCTTGAGCCTTGAGTGATGTCCCACATCCCATGAGTCTTTTCCAGGTGGCTTTGGGTCCACAGCGTGGTTTCTTAGGTCCGGGGACACTCTCTCTTGCCTGCCTTGTCACCTATTGGCGCCTGCTCACCACAGAACAGGCACCAATAGGCCTGGCTCGCAGACACAGCATATCTACTGAATATAGAAAATGTAGAAAGAAAGTGAATTTTGAGCCAGGAATGATGGCACATCAGAAGGAAATACCTTTATTGAAGTTTCTGGATATAGTTTGTAACTTTTCAGCCCCTAACACACTTCCACTCAAAACACTTCGAGAGCCTGCTTTCACCTTAATCCGGTATTCTCAGGCTTGGCATTATTGACATTTGGGGTTGGATAATTCTTTGTTGTGGATGCTGGTCCTGTGCACCGATGGAGGCTTGACAGCATCCACAGCCTCTCCCCATTAGATGCCGGTAGCACTTCCCCTGTGTTCCAACCCTGTTATGACAACAACCAAAAATGAATCCAGACACTGCCAAATGTCATGAGGTGCAAAATCACCTAGGTTGAGAAGCTCTGCCCTAACTCGCCCTTGAGTCATGCAACCACTCACTCAACTTCATTTCCCTCAAATGCACCATGATTTTAGACACTCAGACAATACACCAGCTTCAGCCTCCATTCTTCCTGCTGTTGCATCTGTTTTTCCAGTCAGCCATCAACTAAAGATAATGGTATCTTTACTTGTCATAGGTTTGAATTTAAATTCCACCCCTTACTAGCTGTGTGTCCTCTGACAATACAGGTAATCTCGCTGTGCCTGCTCTTCATCAGCAGAATGGAGATAATGGTATCTCAGAGGGCTGCTGTCAAGTCCAAAGACATCCAATGTGAAGTGCCCGGCAGGAGCAAGCACCTGAGAATTCATTCATTCCTTGGATATCCAAGACCACGTCTCTGGGAAATGAGAAAGCAGAGGGGTTGCAATCCCTACCCTTTTGCCTCAGTTCCCCTGCCCCAGGGCACTGCCCGTTGTCCTTTTCTGGTTTTTTTTTTTTTTTTTTTTTTTTTTGAGATGGAGTTTTTCTCTGTTGCCAGGCTGGAGTGCAATGGCGTGATCTCGGCTCAGTGCAACCTTTGCCTCCCAGGTTCAAGCAATTCTCCTGCCTCAGCCTCCCGAGTAGCTGGGACTACAAGTGCATGCCACCATGCCCAGCTAATTTTTGTATTTTTAGTAGAGATGGGGCTTCACTATGTTGGCCAGGATGGTCTCAAACCCCTGACCTCAGGTGATCCACCCACCTTGGCCTCCCAAAGTGCTGGAATTACAGGCGTGAGCCACCGTACCCCGCCGAGGTCACCTTGTTTGACCTCAGCTGGGAACAGGCACATCAGGCAACTCAAATGTTTCCCCACCCTGCACATGTCTTCAAAGGAGCCCTGAGTATTGATTTGGGGGCTACAAATACATTTTAGCAAATAGGCAAATTCCCAAATACAGAAATCACAAATAATGAAGACTGACGACATATGCCTATACCTATTTAAGGATATGAGCGTGCGTGCACACATACACACACACACACAACCTTCACCTCGTTGGGCATTGGCAGCATGAGGACAGCAGACTCCCCTCATACACAGGTGTAAGCTCTGTCTACTCTTCTAGCCTGAGAAGGCTACTGCCTGCCAGAAGGAAACTGCATGTTCACACGGGCACTGTCTAACCAAAGCAGGGCACTGCACAGTGGCAGGATCCACCCTGGATGCCTGTTTTTTGGTCAGCGGAAACCCGAAGGTTTGAAGGCGTAATGGGAGGAATGGGTCCACTTAAAAAAGAACCATGTTGTTTCATTAGGGCTCCCTGTGAGTCCCTGGGAGCTGGATACCACCTGTCTCCTACCTACCTGCTTTCATTCTCCAGGAGTGCCTCCTGATCACAGGCTCAGCAAACGCTCACAGACCCCAAGTTCCATGTTGACTCTCGTGTGTTGGCTACAGAGAAAGGAGAGGACTCCACAACTCTGCCCACCCCAAAGGCAACTCACATCAGTGGCTCCAGCAACTTTGCTGGCTGCTCCAGGGTGTGATGGAGCCCCAACTGCCCAGGCTTGGGGCCAGCACACCAGCTGCGGATTTCATCACCACTCTCCTTGTTTTAGAAACAGAGCCCAAAGACAAGCATGCAAATATGCTGTGCTCTGGCCAGATTTTAAATAATACACTAAAATGTTAGTTCAGAACATACTTGGCCCCTCTCCTACATGTGCTACAGGTGCTTGCTCATGAAATGTTTTGAACAGCATGGGGAGCAGGTACTATATTTCAATGCCTCTTTTTGGTTTTAAGGTTGTAAGACTTTTTTGTTTTGTTTTCTGCTAGAGCTAAAATGTTTTTCTGGGTGAGCAGAAATAGCCTTTTTGCCTTTTAACATTTAGCTGAAAGGAAAAAATACTACATTTCCTTGGTCATCATGGCAAATGTCATGCTGGAGGATTTTGACACATACAGAACTAGCTAGGAAGTCAGAGTCCAAACTGATGACTGCACCCCGGTCAAATTTTCTTCTACCCAGCAATCCAAAGGGTTCACCCTGCCCAACTCCCCTGCAACTCAATCTAAGTCTGTGACCAGCCCCCGCCACCAGGAAACCCGTAGACATAGCTAGATCTCTTCCACTGAAGAATGGGGACTTCTCTTGGGAGAATGTAAGGGTAAGTCCATAAGATGCCAAGCCCAATGAGGGAGCACTTGTACCAGAAGAGGAATTCTATAGATTGAGTCTTATGAATGTTATGAAGTAAAAGTAGATTTTGGTAATGTTTCTAATAGAAAGACAACAATAATTATAACAAGAGGCCAGGCACTGTGGCTCACACCTGTAATCCCAGCACTTTGGGAGGCCAAGGTGGGTGGACCACCTGAGATCAGGAATTTGAGACCAGCCTGGCCAACATGGAGAAACCCCGACTTTACTAAAAATACAAAAATTAGCCGGGCATGGTGGCGCATACCTGTAATCCCAGCTATTTGGGAAACTGAGACAGGAGAATTGCTTGAACCTGGGAGGTGGAAGTTGCACTGTGAGCCGAGATTGCACCACTGCAATCCAGCCTGGGCAACAGAGTGAGACTTCATCTCAAAAAAAAAAAAAAAAAAAAAATTATAAAAAAAGGCAAACATAAGAAATTTTACTCCACAACAACAATTAGTTCTTAGTATCCACATGTAGTAGTAGTCAGATATTGTACACCATTCCTACCCCAAAAAAAGATTTATTCATTCATTCATTCAACAAATATCTACTAACTGCCTTTATGTGCCAGGCACATTTCTATACATGTACTATATACAATGAAAAGATGAGCTTTACCTCTCAAAGTGTGTAGTGAGGACACAGGTGTATGTGCAACAGACACTATCACACCAAAAAATGATGCAAGGTGACAGTGCTATACACAATGTGGACCCGAAAGCAAACCCTTGTGTTGGAGGTGGGTGGAGGCACAGATGGCTTTTGAGAGGAAGGGACCTCTCAGCTGACTTTACATGGAGCAACATGAGTTTGCCAGATCCTCTGGGTAGGGGAAAGAGAAAGGAGATTCCATGCAGAGGAACCAGAATGTGCCAAGCAAAAAGGCGCCAATAAACAGCGCCACCCTAAGGGTAACCACGGACAGTGCAGTGCCGGCTGTGAGCGCACAAAGAAGCTGGACACATCGTGAGTGCCGTAAATACTGTGCCTGTGTGAGCACACGTGCGAAGGCTGTGCTAGTGTGTCTGTGTGTGCACCCCTCTGTCTGTCTGGAGAATGGGCTGGGGACAAAGCTTTGCATGGAAGCGGGGGTCGCTTGTTTCTACACTGGCTTCTTCTCACTCCTTGTCTGTGATGGAACTTCCTTTGTTAGCACTAGAATTTGATGCCATTGGTCCCCACCGTGGTTTGTGGAGCCCTATTCACCTCACCTAGTGAGAAGACTGGTAAATTAGAGGCCCTGTTCTAGCCAGGACACCTCCGTGCTACATAATAAGCACAGGCTAGAGAATTCTAGAGGGCCACTCTATGACTCACTCTCTGTGCTTACTAATCCAAGCAGAACTCAGCAGAATCTACTTGAGAGAAAGCTCACAGGAGACTAGAAAGTGTCATTTTAATGATGCCAGCTAAACTTCCCTTTCCTCTCCTCCGTCTGCTGTTTTCCCCAGGTGGAGAAGTAAAAGACTGTAAGGAAGGGAGGGGGCATACAGACTTCCAGTCTCTGATCCTGCACTGAAACTCGGGGCACACACTCTCGTCTGCAGGCATGGATGATTATGTCCTCTGTCTGAGAAAGAAGACATGCACTGTACTTTGATGGATGGGCCATGAGTGGCTTGCCTGGGTACTTTCCAGGGCGATTAGGCAGGGGACTGTAGAAAATGTTCAGGTTGGAAGCGTCTGAATAAGGCAATTAGAAGGGAAGGAAGATAGGGGCATTTCAAAGCCATCTTGCATCTCTGCAGGAAGAGGGGAGCAAAGAGGAGGGAAGAGAGCCACCTTCTTGATTTAGCTGCCTATGGATTTGCTCTTGAGAGCTCTTGGTGCTGAATCCTGCAGACAAAGCAGACAGGGAAAGAGCCTTATGCCAGCAGGATTTGGGAGAATACTGAAGTGATCTGGACCTTTAGTCCTGCCACTATGTCCTCGTGGTCCCCCAAAAGGAGGCTGGTTGAAAACAACACAGCCAAAAACTGTATTATTGATATCTGAGAGATAATATGATCCAGGAAAACAGGACAGATAACAAGGTCTGGAAGTCAACAGAACAAGGACCAAACAATAAATCCATCTGTAAAATGGGTTTAATTTATTTCATATGGGATTATCTGTGTAATATGTGTCTTATCCATATTGATTTTTATTATATGTCGAGTGCTGTCTTTATCATGTGGCAATGCTTCTGCATTATGTCCCCACAACAGTACCTCAATACTACAGGATAGGTGGGGAGACAAATGATATTAATAGCCAAAGAAAAGCATAACCAGAGGGACATTCCACCACAGATCACCATATGAAGCTTCAAGTCGGGGGAGTAATTTGTACTCTTATGGGTTAATCTATATGCTGGTCATTTCTGTGTAGAGCAGTTAATCTAGAAAATGGTACTCTCTGCTTCCTCTCATACCTCTGCAACATGCTCTGATAACTAAAAACCTCTCTTATTACTTGTCATTTTAATATTTTAAATGAATATAAATGTAAGAACTCACCGGGTTTATTTAGACATAGGTTCCTACCATCTAATAATCTCTTTTTGTTTTTTACAAAGGATAAAAAGCAGCACAAATAGATTAAGGTATTTCAAAACTTCTTTAGAGCCCAACTCTTCTGGATTATTTACAAAGACAGTTTTAAAGCCCTTTATAAAGTTATCTGAAAGCAGAGTTCAAAAATACAAATTATATCTCATCTCTCTTGCTATCAAAAAAAAAAAAATCCCCAAGAAACTGCACCATGCTTTTGTCTTCTCCTCCGTGACCAAAGCTGCCCTTTGGAAGCAAAATGCCATACAACATAATTGGTGGTGCAGCAGCCCAGCTCTCTGCAGAAGCTAGGGTTAGACTTTTTTACATTCTACAAAGCACCACTTTATCTTTCTGCTTCAAGTTGAAATCACCTTTTTCCATGAACAGTGCCAGACGCTCTGTTTGAGAAGCATCACCAAAGCCCAGGCATGAATTCCTTCCACTGCTGAGACATTCTAATACACCAGGTTAATTGGGATCTGAGAATGGTTACTGCTCCTAGGGGTCCCATTCAATTAAATGTTCCTACAATTTGCATTTGGAAAGCACATCATCATCACTGCCTGGTGCCTTAATGAAAACTTGAGTCCACAAAATTTGGGTGCTAGACACAGTATCCTGAAAGGGTCATATCCTGAAATGTTCAGAAGTGCAATTTTGTGCCCAGTTCTAACAGGAATTTTTCTGTCCCATGTACCCTGGGGACACAGTGATGTTGCATTGTGCACAGTGGGAAAAACACCTTCCTGAGAGACACTGGTACACATGATACATTAGTGGGCCATGAGAATCATCCTCAGCTAAAATC